TCCAGAGATTCTGGTATGTTGCATCTTTATTCTCATTGGTTTTGAAGAACATCTTTATTTCTGCCTTCATTTCATTGTTTATCCAGTTGACATTCAGGAGCCAGTTGTTTGGTTTCCATGAAGTTGTGCAGTTCTGAATTAGTTTCTGAATTCTGAGTTCTAATTTGATTGCCCTGTGGTCTGAGAGAGTGTTTGTTATGGTATCTGTTCTTTTGCATTTGCTGAGGAGTGATTTACTTCCAATTATGTGGTCAATTTTAGAGTAGGTGCCATGCGGTGCTGAGAAGAATGCATATTTTGTGGATTTGGGGTGGAGGGTTCTGTAGATGTCTGTTAGGTTTGCTTGGTCCAGGTCTGAGTTCAAGTTCTGGATATCCTTGTTGATTTTCTGTCTTGTTGATCTGTCTAATATTGAGAGTGGAATGTTAAAGTCTCCCACTGTTATTGTGTGGGAGTGTAAATCTCTTTGTAGGTCATTAAGAACTTGGCTTATGAACCTGGGTGCTCCTGTATTGGGTGCATATATATTTGGGATTGTTAGTTCTTCTTGATGCCTTGATCCTTTTACCATTATGTAATGCCCTTCTTTGTCTCTTTTGATCTTTGTTGGTTTAAAGTCAATTTTATCAGAGATTAGGATTTCAACTCCTGCTTTTTTTTGCTTGATAAATCTTCCTCCGTCCCTTTATTTTGAGCCTATGTGTGTCCTTGCACATGAGATGGGTTTCCTGAATATAGCACACTGATGGGTTTTGACTTTTTATCCAATTTGCCATTCTGTGTCTTTTCATTGGGGCATTTAGTCCATTTACATTTAAGGTTAATATTGTTATGTGTGAATTTGATCCTGCCATTTTGATGCTAGCTGGTTGTTTTGCCCATTAGTTGACACGTTTTCTTCATTGTGTTGAGGGTGTTTACCATTTGGTACGTTTTGGAGTGGCTGGTACTGGCTGTTCCTTTCTATGTTTAGTGTTTCCTTCAGGAACGCTTTTAAGGCAGGCCTGGTGGTGATGAAATCTCAGCAATTGCTTGTTCATAAAAGATTTTCTTTTTCCTTCGCTTTTGAAGCTTAGTTTGGCTGGATATGAAATTCTAGATTAAAAGTTCTTTTCTTGCCAGGCATGGTGGCTCAAGCCTGTAATCCCAGCACTTTGGGAGGCCGAGGTGGGTGGATCACGAGGTCAAGAGATCGAGACCATCCTAGTCAACATGGTGAAACCCCGTCTCTACTAAAAATACAAAACAATTAGCTGGGCATGGTGGCACGTGCCTGTAATCCCAGCTACTCAGGAGGCTGAGGCAGGAGAATTGCCTGAACCCAGGAGGCGGAGGTTGCGGTGAGCCGAGATTGCGCCATTGCACTCCAGCCTGGGTAACAAGAGTGAAACTCCGTCTCAAAAAAAAAAAAAAAAAAAAAAAAAAAAAAGTTCTTTTCTTTATGGATGTTGAATATTGGCTCCCACTCTCTTCTGGCTTGTAGAGTTTCTGCTGAGAGATCTGCTGTGAGTCTGATGGGCTTCCCTTTGTGGATAACCCGATCTTTTTCTCTTGCTGCCCTTAGCATTTTTTCCTTCATTTCAACCCTAGTGAATCTGAGGATTATGTGCCTTGGGGCTGCTCTTCTTGCAGAATATCTTTGTGGTGTTCTCTGTATTTCCTGGACTTGAATGGTGGCCTGACTTGCTAGGTTGGGGAAGTTCTCCTGGATAAAATCCTGAAGAGTGTTTTCCAGCTTGGATTCATTCTCTCCATCACATTCACATACACCTATCAAATGTAGATTAGGTCTTTTCACATAATCCTATATTTCTTTGAGGTTTTGTTCATTTCTTTTCACTCTTTTTTCTCTATTCTTGCCTTCTTCTTTTATTTCATTGAGTTGATCTTCAATTTCTGATATCCTTTCTCCTGCTTGATCAATTCAGCTATTGAAACTTGTGTATGCTTTGTGAAGTTCTCGTGCTGTGTTTTTCAGCTCCATCAAGTTGTTTATATTCTTCTCTAAGCGGTTTATCCTAGTTAGCATCTCATCTAACCTTTTTTCTACGTTTTTAGTTTCTTTGCATCGGGTTAGAACATGTTCTTTTAGCTCTGAGAAGTTTGTTATTATCCACTTTCTGAAGCCTGTTTCTGTCAGTTCATCAGACTCATTCTCCATCCATCTTTGATTCCAGCTGGTGAGGAGTTGTGATCCCTTGGAGGAGGAGAGGCCTTCTGGTCTTTGGTGTTTTCCTCCTTTTTGTGCTGGTTTCTTCCCATGTTAGTGGTTTTTTCTACCTGTGGTCTTTGTAGTTGGTGACTTTCGGATGGGGTCTCTGAGTGGATGTTCTTTTTGTTGATGATGAAGTTATTTCTTTCTGCTTCTTAGTTTTCCTTCTAACAGTCAGGCCCCTCTGCTGCAGGACCACTGGAGGTCCACTCCAAACCCTGCTTGCCTGTGGATTGCCTGCAGGGGCTGCAGATCAGCAAGGGTGGCCACAGGCTTCTTCTCTGCTATCCTCGTCCCAAATGAGTACCCACCAGATGTTGGCCTGAGCTCCCCTTTATGGGGTGTCTCTTTGTGTATATGGGAGTTGGGGAGTTGCTTGATGAGATAGTCTGTCCCTATAGCAGCTCAAGTGCTGTGCTGGGGGCTCTGTTGTTCCGTGCAGAGCTGCTGGGCAGGTACCTTTAAGTCTGCTGCAGCTGAACTCATAACCACCTCTTTTCCCAGGTGCTCTGTCACAGGAAGGTCAGTTTTATTTGTAAGACCCTGTCATGCTACTGCCTTTTTCATAGATGCCCTGCCTCACATGAAGTAGTCTCATCACAGTCTGCCAGCAGAGGCATTGCTGAGCTGCTGCAGGCTCTGCCCAGCTGCTGTGTGAACTGCCTTGGTAGTGGTAGACTGCCTAAGTAATGGGGGACGCCCTTCCCCCCACTAAGCTGGACAGTCCTGGGTCCAACTGTGCTTGCTGCAAAACTCTCAATCCAGAGTGTTTCAGGTTGCTTATTTTGTGAGCATGGTACCCACTAAGCCAGATCCCCTGGCTCCCTGTCTTATTCCCCTCCCTTTCAGTTGAATGGGTAGCTCTGTCTCCCAGGCGTTCTGGGCTCCGGCTGAAAAGGCAGCTCAGACTTGTGTGAGTTACTGTGCTTCGACGTGGCACCGGCTGAAACCTCCATGCTGATAACTTGTGGTGCTTTTCGGCCTGGGGATCTCCTGGTCTGTGGGCAGTGAAAACTTGTTTGGAAATGCGATGAGCAGTCACCCTCTACACTGTTCTCGCTGGGAACTGCACTCTGGAGCTATTCCTATTTGGCCATCTTGGATCTTCTCCCACAAATTTTTTTTTTAATTTTTATTTTTTTTGAGATGGAATCTTGCTCTGTCACCCAGGCTAGAATGCAGTGGCACAATCTCAGTTCACTACAACCTCTGCCTCCTGAGTTCAAGCGATTCTCTTGCTTCAGCCTCCTGAGTAGTTGGGATTATAGGTGCAGGTCACCACGTCTGGATAATTTTTGTATTTTTAGTAGAGATGGGGTTTCACCATGTTGGTCAGGTTGATCTTGAACTCCTGTCCTCAGGTGACCTGACTGCCTCAGCCTCCCAAAGTGCTGAGATTGATTACAGGTGTCAGCCACTGTGCCCGGCCAACAAATGCTTTAGTCATGTGGGAAGCAGCTCTATGCAAAATGTTATGTCTTAAAAAAGATTCAACATATCTGCCCATGTACCCCCAGTATCTAAAACAAAAGTTGAAAAAATTTTAAAAACTTACAAAATTATGCAGAAATCTCAAATGGATGAAGTCAATTTCTGCATGTCTATCTCTTTATGAATATTCAGACATAAATAGAAGAAACCCAAATTGAAATATATCAAAATGTTATTAAAGTTGTACTTTATTTTCATGTGTATTTTTCCATTTTTCTTTAATGAGAATGGATTTCTCTTGTAGTAAAATGTTACATTGAAACAAAGATTGAATGCTACATCTATGGTGACTTAAACTGGTCTTTGACAAAAAAGGCTAACTCTAGGGCTACAAAAGATACATGAAAACTGGCACCAGACGCTGGAAGAATCTTTTCTGAACCTCAGTTTCTCAGTAAGGAGATGCTTAAATGGATTCAATTTAATTAATTGAATCAATTCATTAGTTGATTCAATCCCTGAATCAACTCTGACAAGTGTAGCTTGGGCTGAGGTTTTAAGACTATACCCTCTATTTTGTCACATGTGAGAAAGAACCTTTGCAAGCAGTTTCATGGTCCCTGGTGGCCTTTGAAGTTCTAGGGTGCAGAAGGGTTTGAGGCTGCCTGGGGCGATGGTTAGGCTTGCTCTCAGAGGGGGCGAGGCCGAAGCTCTCTGAGGGATCCTAAAGATCCTGCTCCTTCAGCACAGGTGCCCCGGGTCCAGAGTCTTCTGTTAGGGAATCTGGCTTTCTTCTACAGGTGTGAGGCCTTCTTACCATGACCTCTCATTTGATGTATCTGCATTTCCCCCTCTCTGTTACACTGTATTTAAGAACATATACTATACTTTGGTGCATAAGACCAGAAAGTAAAAATATCATTTTGACATGATTGATTTTCACACTGAACATAAAGAAAACCCTCTTTAACTCTACGGGGTTGTGTTCTCCTCCAGAGGGACCAGGGAGCCATCTCACATTCTACTGAGGACTGTTTCATGCCCTCCTTAGACAATCTTGATGCAAAAGAAGACAGGTCGTTTTCTTGTTTTAGATGAGAATAACTGAAGATTTGATTTCAGCTAATTTTATATTAGCAATTTGAAATATTTATTCCCTCAGGAGCCAGAAATAAATCTGTAGGAATAGCAAGTTTCCAAATATTAACATTTGCTTTTGGTTCAGACTGTCAAAAGCCTTTATTCCCACCCTTCCTCCAACTTCTCTTTAATTTTACCTGTTCTGAGCTCTTCAAGTGCTAAACAATGAAATCTCAGATGCTTCTGGCAACTATGTGTTATTAGTAAGGGATGGCACCTTGTTATTTGATTGCATTTTATGATTTCCTTCAGCTCAATGTGTATCTGATATTGGAGGGCTCTCCCAATGGGTTGAGATTGAGAGATGCTACAAATGATGTGGTTTTTATTATTTCTGTGGACTGCTGTGCAGCCAGGTGAGAACCCTGAGGCTGTGTAGGCTGGAAGTGAGGCCGGAGTTACCCTGTTCTCACTAGTAGAGCCCAGTGTCCACACCCCGGCACAGCCACTTCTGCCTACATCATAGAATGGCTGGGGCAGCTGCTGTTCCGCCAATTTAAGATACTTGTCCCACGAGGAGATCAGTAGGCGTTCAGCACAGCTATCCGAGCCTTTTCGCATAGTGGGTCTAGTGTACCGTCACCTCCTAGGGAAATAGATATATTGTCTTTTGGTTAGCTTCATATACAGTTTATTATCGTATCAGACATACCTATGGCTTCCACCCAGAGGGCATTTTCAAAGGCCATGGGCAAGTAAAATGTTAACTAGTTTTTAATAGAGTTAAATAGAGTGGATTGCAAAGCTTTGACTTCTGAGCATAGAGAGGCATGCACGGTGACAGCCTGCCAGGCCTGAAGCTCTCCAGGGCAAAGAAATCACTTGAACGTTGCTGATAGTGTCATGCATTGCTGGCATATCAACTCTAATTGTCTTAGCAAGTCTAGATAGAATAAACAAATGGAACAAAAGCAGCTTTGAATGCAAATAATAGTAGAATACATATTATTGAAGTAAAAAAAAACTGTTATCCCTTAATCCCATCACATCCCTTGAAGTCCAGGGCTTCACTTCATTTTCCTTCCTCTTCTGTTCCCAGTGTTGGGGGAAACTCAGAGCGTCACACACTTTACTGCGTGGTTCCGATGTGCTCCTGTGTGTGCCACAGGGCACAGGGCTTTCAGTGGGAGTTTCATACTCAGACAGAAACCCAATTTGAATCAAGGCATGAGGCACTGATCGTTTCAACTAGAAACTGAGGGACTCCTCAGAGGAGACAAAATACTGGCTAGAAATGTCACTAAAGGGCTTACCGAACTCCAGGTCCTTAATGTCGCAGTGGAAGACAACGTCTTCATTGACCATGAGTTCCACTACATTCCAGTCTTCTATCTTCTCTAGTATGACCTTGTGTCCATCTTTGGCCAACACAGCTACGAAGGACAGGAAGGGAGGTGGGTGACATGGGGTCAGACTTCAAACTTACCTGATTGGTAGCAGTCCCAGTCCTCATGATGACAGTAGCTTGTCTGCCATCTAGTTGCTCATGGGTATCACTCAACTGCCCTGGTAGGCACTTACTGGATGCTGGTCCCAGGTGCCCTCACCTTTGCTGGAAAGCACAGCCAGAAGCCTGAGTAATTCAAGTTTCAGTTGCTATTTGTCATAGACCAAGATGATCTGTTAAACAATGAGCTTTCTCTAGTAAAGGGCTATTGGGCTTTGCAGAGGCTCAATCTTATAGATACCATACTCAGTGCTGGAGAAGACTCAGGGGAATAGGTAACTTCTTACCCTGCTGATGGAAGTACAAATTGGGCACCTTCTGGAAGGCAATTTGGCAGTACCTACCAAAAGCCTCAAAAAACGATTCGAATCTTTAGTGCAGGAAATTGCAATTAAAAGAAAGCTTCCTAAGGAAAAAAAGTAAAGAATACAGACAGATTTTTGCAACAAGGTGTCTTTTCTGTATTATTATGATAGCAAAATACTGTTAATAACTTATATGTCCAATAACGAGAGGATGGCCAAGTAAATGGTGGAATGTCCCTGTGATGAGATTTTATTTGGACATTTATAAAAATGTTTAGGAACTTTTTTACTGGCAAGAAAAATACTTGCAATATAAGTAAAAACTTAGGATACAAATACGTATAATACATGTTTAAAATATATAATCAATATGAATTCAAATATGTATGTAGGGATGAAGAAAATATCTATTGATTATCTTCTGTGGTGAGACTATGGGAATTTTTTTTCTCTTTATTCTTTCAGTATTTTCCAGATTGCCTATAATAATATGAAAAAAAAGTTTTTTTAGAAAAGCTAATGAACTAATTTTTTAGTCTCATCTTTGGAATCTGTGTTTTGGTTATCACTAACATTCAATGGTTCCTTCCCCAGAGATCAGCCATGGAAAAATTGTTAGATTTAATCTTTTTATTGTGAAGAAGCAAAAGTGTGTGGCTCAGAAGAAATGATGTACATTGGATAGCCTAGAGCTCTACTTTTTCCAGTGTATTTCTCCCCAATTTCCTGGATATGTTTACCCCATAACATCAATATTAGAGTGATGTGCCAAACATTACCTTTGATGGTCTTCATACGTTGGTGAGAATTTTGGTTAGGATGGAAAGAGAAAACAGATGGGGGCATATTCTTTAAAGTGTTGACATTTCAATCAGTTTTACATGGAGAAAAGCAAACAGTTATGTCAATTAATTGCATTTAATTACAGAGACAATTGCTGTTTCAAAATGGTGTGTCCACTTCTTCATCTTTCAATCAGTTCAAGAACATCCAGCCCCAACTGTGAACACTTTAATTGCGTGATTTTAATTTCACTTCTGGAAAGGAACTTCAGAAAGAGACTCAGCAAGAATCTCCATTAACAAGACTGCACTCCCTGGGCACCCAGAGGCGGCCCTAATTGAGCCACATCAGCTAATGCGTCTCTAAGAAATGCCTGCACCTTTTTCGTTGGCATATTTATAATATTGTATTCTGTTTTAAGTGTCTACTTCTTAAACATCTTTAACGAAGGCACTCAGTTTGAACTCATGACTTGTTTAAATGTAGCAGTCCAGCTCGTGTGGAAAGGCAGTTGATGGTCTAGGGAGACATAAAGGCAGTCCATGGGCAGAGATTTCTGGGATTCTATGCTCCCTCAGCAGCAACCCCTCAGGACAGAGGAGCCACATTTGTCTGAAGACATGCCTGGAGGGTGGATTTCAATTTGATAGGAAGAAATCAGGAACAAAACAGCTTCTCCATTCCCACCTTACACCTGCCTCCCACCCCACCTGTGGGGCAAGGTGCTGCCACTCTGTGTTAACACCCAGTGCCAACTCTCTAAGGCCTGGAGAGGTGAGAGTGCATGGACTGTGGGTGAGGAGCGGCCCCATGGGAGGAAGCCCCAGGAGGCGAGCACACTATAGCCTGCCCTTGGCCCTCCTGCAGGGCCTGCTGACTGAGCCTCACATCGCATCTGAGCTTGGAGTTTGTTTTGAGGACAGTGGCACTCTTACACTCTTACATGGCATGGTGTAGCTCAGAAACAGGATTTGATCCACCGAATCACTAACCCTATAGAGTTGAGGGGTGCTGAATAATGAGAGTCCACCTCACCTTTGAGCAAATGAAGCCCAATAGGAAGAAACCCTCTCAAGAGACATACCACTCCTCACTCTACCCTCTACAGGGTTGCAAAGCACAGGCTCTCGTGGTCTTAAAGGGCTTGTGTCTTCCTCACTGATCTCAGTTCTCTCCAAGTGCCGGGTTTTTATACAGGCTCACTGAAGAAGCAAACAGAATGGCGCTGGGCACCACGACCCTTATGGACCCAGAGTGACCTAAGTCTGATTCTTGGTAAGGCGGCAAGCTGCTTCAGAGTCCACATTGACTGTTCAGCCCCAGGACGCTCCCTTCCCATCAATCTGGGACGTGTTGAGCTGGCTGTAAGGTGGCCAGGGCAGGCTTAAGGGATCAAACACCAGACGCCCGGAATTCCTGCCGCTCATCCAAATGCCACCTCTCTACACGGAGCACCCATTTCCTCCCATGAATTGCTGTGGGGTTGTCTAGTCAAAGAAAGGTCAGATAAATATACTCCCTGAAACAAAGTCTGTGCAAAGGCAGTGGCTAAACTCCAGCATAAATCAACCAGAAGCTGTAAGGCCACCCGCAGTCTGCCCGCCTCTTTGAAGTGGCACCTCATTCTTCAAGGGGGATTCAAATAAATGAAAGGGACATAGAAAAGCCTCCCTTCTCTTCAGTGCCGGTGGAATTGCGCACCATCTGCGAATGATTTAAATGCCGCTGGTCAGGAAGTCGAGGTAAACAGACCTCTTTCCCTCCTCTACCCAGCACAGAGGCATAACCATGCCCACGAGCAAGGGCTGCTGTTGCATAGTAGCGCAGGAGAATGGCACACAGGGTGTCTCAGCTACATAGGGTGGATTCTATTTTATGGATTGGTTTCAGTTCCTTCCAAGCCCTCTGAGTGGGTCATTTGGCAAACTTAAGTACAGCACGCAAGGGGCAAGCGTGGCCAGGGAAATTACTTAGAACTTTTTATTAAACATTAGTTTAGCTTCACCAGCATTGAGGCCATAGTGGAAACATTTTCCTGAGCTATTATAATTCATGGATAATGAAGAAAGAACCAAAATTTTCAGATTGCTAAAGGCATGGTAAGTTCAGAAAAGATCAGGCCTATTTCTAAAGCCAGCAGGGCTTCAAGAAATGATAAAGAGCTATAATTTTTAAAGAAACACACAGAATTCAGATGTAGATTTTACAGAGGAGGGCCTGCAAAGGTACCACTCTCTGCCTGCTGTGCAGTAAGAGCTGGGTCTAAAGTTGTGGGGGGCGCAGATGGTCCCTGCTTTGCTGCAGTGAACACCCTGGCCTTTGTTGGCTGCCGGTATTACGTGGCTTATCATTCACTGATGTACAGACCTGACTTTACAAATCAACCACCTGCTGATACCTTGCAACCCTCAAGTCTCCTTCAGCCACAAAAACGCTCCTCTCGCTCTCCTCCAAATACTCTTCCCCTCCCCTACTGTGGGAAGAGCCGCCTGTGCCTGCTGCCTTTGCTTTTTGCTGTTTCCACCAGCTCACCTCCTGCAGGGAAGCCTTCGGCTCACCAGCTCACCAGGTCCAGAGCCTGCTGCTCTCTCATAAGTCAGGAAACCATCCCACATTCAGTGACTTCCCAGCGTTCCCCATCCCTCTTGGACTCACCTTCTTTCTTGTTTCTTTAAAATGCTTTTGATGGTAAAAACAAATATGTATTTTGAACTCTAAATTTTTAAAATCAGATTTTCAATGTAACACAGATTCATAGTTTTTTTTTTTTAAAAAAAAAAACTTTAAAATTATAGAAAAGGATAACATTTTAAAAATCACCCCTAATTCTTCTCTCACTCTGTCCTTTTCAGTGGCAGTGAGACCACGGCATTCAGGACCACGATTTGTTCCCTTTGCACGACAGCGTGTGTGCCAGCCCTGTCACACACAGAGCGGCTGCATTCTTCTTCAGTGCTATGTAGTATTTTACATGATGTATGTACTACAACTTATTTAGCCATTATTTCCTGGTTGTTTCCAGTTTTTTGCTATCACTGAGAATGTTGTAGAAAACATTCACAGCATGCATCCTTGTGCATGTGTGATGTTTGTTTTTCTTTTATAAGGAAGATATTGAGAAATGGAACAGTTGGATTCTACACTATATGGTCACATTTTAATAGACACTGCCAAGTTGTCCTCCAAGGTGACAGTTTAATTTACTCTCCTGCCAAGGGTAAATTAGAAAAATACTCTTTTTCTCAGTCTTTCATCAGCCATGAAATCATCTCTTGCCAGAAATCACCTCTACTCAGCAGTTTGGAGCCCACGGGTCATTTTCTTCTCGAAATGCCCTCGCTTGCCCCCTTGTGCCTCCAGTGCTCTCCTCCCTCAGCGCCTGCTCTTCCACAGGCTGCTCCTCTTAACACTCCCTGGCCTTAGCGGGGCCGTCCCATCATCCTGACATCTCTGGTCCAGTCTTTCCTTGTGGTAGGTAATTACCAGCACCAAGAAGAAATAAGGAGGGAAGGGAGAACAGGAAGAGGGAGGCAGAGGGACGTGCTGACATTTTTGGTGGGATGTCCAAGGAAGGCCTGCCCATGAAGGTGACTTTTGAGGAATATCTTGAGACTGAGAGAATGAAGCTGAAGACGACGTGGGAAGGAGCATTCCAGGCAGAGTGGCTGTGGAGTCCCGAGGTGGGAGTTGGTTAGGAGCATTGAAGGACTGAAGGAGGCAGCTGTGGCTGCAGCTGCTGGCCAGGGAGAGGACAGGCAGAGGGAGGAGGGGGTGAGATCAGAGCGGGGGGCACGAGGAGCCTAGGGGCCAGGTGAGCCTTTAGCTTCTCCCCTGAGTG